CTGTCGCTTGCACTTGTTGTGTGCACGTGTACAGAGAGAGAGAGTGAGCAGAGAAAAGCTGCCAGTTCGTGGGTCTACAGACCCTACATCAACCAAGAGTCTCCCTCAGCAGCCAACTACCTGCTAAAAGACAGTGGGTGACTAGAAGGCCTGGGACAGAGGTGAGACCCTAGGCTTATATAAGAGATATATAAAATCTCTTATTTTTCTAGGCACCGTGACAAATGTTGGCAGCTGCACCCAGAAGAGTTCTTATTTTTTAACAAATTCACAGCTTGTTCTAGGAGCCATGATGCTGGCTTTTCCCAGGCTTGGCCACTGCTGAGTGTAGAGATGTGGCCTTCTCTCGATCTCTAGGTCAAGAAGGCAGGAGGCCTGGGAAGAGACAGAAGATGTCAAGAGCTAGGTAAGGCTCTCAGGTGAGGAGTAACTGAGGCCCTCACCTCTAGCCAGGTTCTTCTTGTTTGTTTGTTTGTTTTGAGCTACAACTCCAGAATAGAGTTAGCTGGCAGAGCTAGAAAAATACTCAGAAGTTATCCATCCAGCCATGCCCTTTTATAGGTGAGAAAACTGAGGCCCAGAGGGGTGGTGACTTGCCCAAAGTCTCTGTCGCTCTTCCCCCAAACATCTCAGGCTTCCCCCAAACATCTTAGCCAAGCATGACTGTGTGTTGGCTGCTGGACCCAAACTGGGTTCCCTCGCCCTCAAGATCAGAGGAGAGAGGAAGGGAAAGGACGAAGAAATTGTTTCACCTTGTTGGACCATCCAGAAGTTTCCAGCTGAAAGGAAGGAAATCCAGTCCACCCCTCTCATCATACAGATAAAGATACGGAGCCCAGAGAGAGAGAAAACACCCTCCGAGTAACTTTCATTACACGCTGCATAACTCAGTCCTCAGTGAGGTTGGCTTTGTTTTGTGCCCAGGGGCTCATAGATTGTTTGCCCAGAAATAAACTTTCTTCTGGCTCAGGGTAGGACTGGGCATTGTAAACAGCCCATGCAGAGGACTGAGCTTGAAGCATCCTGAAGGAAGGAAGGTCCGGCCTAAACTTCAAAGCCCGGCACTGTGCTGGACGTTGTCATACTTGTCATCATCTCATGTGGGACTCACAGAATGCCAGACTGAAAGGGACCACAGAGAAGAGAAATCCAAGTCCTATTTCCCAGATAAGGAGACCAAGGCTCTGAGGGAAATGACTCATCCAATAGCACACGGGATGGAATTGTCCCTAAGAGCCAGGTTTTCTCACCTCCTGTCTTGTTTTCTTCCTTTCCTCCTCCTCCTCCTCTCCTTCCTCCTTCCTGCCCTTGCTCCTCCTCCTTCTAGTTTTTGCAGTCCCCGTAGTGCCTAACATTGTGCTGGCCTCATAACTTTTCAATATGCTCAATAGGTTCTTGCTGAATGGAATATATACAAGATGCTTTTGTGTACAATGCACCTTTGGTCATTGATAAAAGCTTTAAAAAGTGCATATTGTTTTTGATAAATATCTAGTAAATGCTTATTACTTGGGTTTATCAGCTCAGTTCTTCCTCATTCTATATTATTTTCTGCTCAAGGCTGGATTTAGGTAGAACTGGACTTCTTCCACTCCAGTCACTCTTCGGAGGTAACTAGGGCCACTTAAGTATGGCCCCTCCAGGGACCTGAACTGTGGGTTAGATCGCTCTGGCCAGAGAGAGCCTCCCTAGAGACTTTGGAATCCTGCCCATGGATCTGAGTATTTCCATCCAGGAGAAATTCTGGCTGAGAGTTTGGAAGTGAGGGCACATCTGAACTGGTACCCAGTTGCTCCCTGGGCATTGCTAACCTTAGAGGGCACAGACCCTTGGGCAAGTGAGAGGGCGTGGGGAGGAGGTGGGTGCTGTCAGTTCAGCAGTGTCCACCAAGCAGGGAGGAAGTCTGCTCTATCTCTTGCCCCAAGTGCCGGCCAGGACATTTCTCATGATTCCAGATAAGACAGCAACTCCCAGAGCCCCTAGCAGTATTGTTCGCCACTCCCCATTCCTCTCCCAGCCCCTTTTCAAAGTCCAATTGTGCTGCCATCTGTCAGGCTCTATAAGGTAAATGCCTGGCTCTCCTCCGAGATTTATTTCCTTTTACCAAGAGGCCAAATTCAATACTGGTTCCCAGAGTCAGAAGTTTCCCAGTCAGCTACGAGATCCCATCTGCAGGATCATCCTGGCAAGGGTCTCTGCCTAACTTATGGACTCATAACAGAAGACAGTTCTATTCTTTGTAAGGAACTTTAAGTTCCTTAAAGGCAGAATCATCTCTATATCCCCAGCACCTACCACAGGCACTCAAAAAACATATGTAGAATGAATGCTAAATTATTCAGTCCCCACTTAACCTGAGAAGCAGAAATCTGAAGGCTCATCAGGGCCCCATATGGTAAATTCTTATAACTTCTGGAGCATTTAGTCAGGCAAAGAGAAGAGGGGAGGAGAGCATTCCAGAAAGAAAAAACAGCCTGTGCAAAGGCCCCGAAGAGCAAAGAGCATATTGTTTAAAAACATGAGAGAAAGGCCACATGGCTGGAGTACAGAGAACTAAGGGAAGAGAGGTGAGGTAGGTAGGGGATCAGATCATGCAGAAACTTTCAGCTGGTTTTTGTCCCACCTACAAAGAGAGGACCAGCTGCAGCAAAATCCCCCGGGGTACTTATTAAAAATCAAGATTTCTGGCTCTCACTCCCACTTAAAAATAAGCTCTGGAGGTGGGTTCCAAGAATTACCATTTTGAATAAGCTCTTCAGGTGATTTGTAAATACCCTAAAGTTTGAAAACTTTTCAGGATCAGTTTCAGATATCAGTGACAAAATTGGAAAGGTTTCAAGCCCTTTCTTAATTAGATTTGTGTTCTAAAAAGGTTACTCTGGCTTTGCCAGAAAGGAGTGGAGGGGTTGGGGGGCGGTTACAGTATCTCAGTGAGGGGTGCTTTGGCTCAGAAGAGGGGTGGGGATGGAGATGGATGGGAGTGGACAGATTCATGAGATTCTTTTTAGGAAGAATCTTTATCACTTATTACAGAAACATTTATGTATGTCTTTATCACTTATTACAGAAACATTTATGTATGTCTTTTACTTTCTCTGATTAGGTAAGTAATACATAACTGATAAAAAATTTCAGATATACAGAAAAGGCAAAGAAGAAAGTAAAGCAGGCCAGTTAGTTCACTTGGGAGAGCATGGTGCTGATATCACCAAAGTCAAGGGTTTGGATCCTCCAATAGACCAGCCACCAAACATAAAAATAAAGATAAACATTTTGGTATATATCTCTCCAGGCTTTTTATCTACATATGCACTCAGACATATGAATCTAGTTTGTTGTTGTCATTTACAATAACGGAACAATTCAGTGATGCTTCTTTGATTACTGATTTTCGACAAAACAATATAACATCTTTTCAGGTCAATATAGACCTACATATATTTTTTAATTTATTTTTTCAATTGAAATATAATTGATTATACATATTTATGGGGTGCAAAGTTGACTATAAGTATTTGTGTATAGTATGTGATGATCAAATCAATATTATTAGCATGTTCATTATTACAAATCATATTCTTTGTGTCTCTTACCCAATTACTCCCTAACCCCTCTCTCGGACTGGATGGCATTCTACTGAATGAATGTCCCCTAGTTTATTTGCCAATCCCCTATTGATGGATATTTAGGTTGTTTCTAACTTTTCATCTCATTATGAAAACCATCTCTTTCCTTCTATGCTCATCTTTGAACACGGTAATGTTTATTTCCTGAGAATAAATTTTTGTTATTCTGAATTGCTAGGTCCTTGACAAACAGTCTAGGTTTAATCTTACATACTCATACTGTGTCCAAGGGGAGTTGTAGAGAGGAGGGCGCCAAAGTCGGGGACCAGAAGTCTTTCCGGTTCCTGGTCTGTCCTTTAGAAGGTCTCGGACTGTTACAACCGTATCCTGGTCTTTCCCGGGCCTTTCTTTCCCTGGCGCGGATGCGGTCAGATGTGGCTCGTTGGAGACCTGTCCGATCCATCCACCCCCAGCTGGGCCCCAGCAGGAGCCTCGGCGGCCCTCCTAGCCCCCAGGAATCCATCTCCAGTTCCCCTGCCCCGCCGCGGGAGGGCGCGATAGGGAGCCGCTGAAGAAGGCAACGGTGGCACCATCCACGGTTTGAAAAGGAAGTCGAGGAAGCGCAGGGAAAAAAGTCGTAGCTCCCCAAAGCCAGCCCCAGCAGCCAGCCCCGGCCCCTGCAGCGCTCCTTCCACCCCCTCCCCACCCAACCCTTCGCGGGCTCCGGCCCTTTAAGAAGCTGTCCCGGTGGCGCTGCTGGCCCCGCCCGGCGGGGAGGGCCGAGCGCTAGGGGC